TGACTTATCGCAGCGGAAATTCGGGAATATATGGTCCATTTCAAGACGTGGGTTCGCTCTGCCCAGTCCTGGCATCGCTGCTGACCAGAGCGCAGGTCGAGCGGCTTTTTTTCCTTGATCGACGGGTCGCGGATCGTCGATGAACGTCAGTCGAGATGTATCCAGCACGGCAAACGAGCTCATCCATTCTATAGGGGGGATCTGGGCCATTCCTTGCGACACAGCGGCGACAATCACATTCAGGAGGGTAAGTGAAGGATCATGCACTTTGTCTGACGGCATCTTACGTCCACCACAATCGCAGAATTAAAACGCTCAGCCCTGCCGATTACCTGATGGTGCTGCAGCTGGGAACCCGCAAGTCTGTCTGTCTTGGCCACAGGCTGCGGCTCCCAGTCCAGATGGCATTGACTGGCAATTGCGGTACCCAACCGTTCCTGCGGACTGTGTATACTCTGTTTTCAGGCGCGACCAGACCGTCATATTCCACGCACGAGTGACTGATTTAGATTACAGTCATGGCATCGACTCCGCGGAGGCCCCTCGTGTGGGATTCTACTCGTTGAAGAATGCCACCGTTGCACAACCGGCTTCGGCATCTTATCGCAGTCGGCCTCTTCTGCATCTGCAACAGTCACCAGTTCATTTGTTCCCCAAACCATTGCTACGACGCTTCCCAACTCGCTGCTCCCGACGCCAATCATACTGACCACCGCCATATGCATTCAAACCTTCTATTCCAGCATCTATCGGGGGGAATCGTCACGGCTGGACTTGCCACGAGCACATACAGCCCCATCCTCGCCCAGAAACATGTGACATCTCTGCCCTCGATCGCATTTTCCCCCTGCGGTCACCCACATCCTCACCACCGACGCCCGAGGTATCACCCGCACAACTACTACATCAATCATTCCCACGCCGCCAGTGACGCTCGGCTTGCTGCAGGAAGGATGTCCTCCTCGACAAGGAGCTGCTCTGCTCCGTCTATAATCGCTGTGCTTCTGTGGCTATGCAGGACTATACTTTATATCATACATTTTGTAGATAATACACGCTACTTGCTTGACTGCTTGAACCCACGCTCCGCTGCTTGGATCATGTGTCCGCCGCTCTTCGCTTCCTGACCCTGCTGCATTCCCGCCACCAGCCAGGTGTACACTTTGATTCCGTTCGCTGTCGCAGCGTTTCCGCCTACGCTCTGAGCTCGGCGTCTTCACTTGCAGCCTAATTCGATGTCAGAGCCTGCGAGCCACGAGACCTTCACGGATGGACCCTACTTCTGATGCAGCGAAGGGCACGGCTCGCGTCTGGCCGCATTCAATAAAGTCTCGGACGGCACTACGACCTTTCAGCATCGAGAATGGCCGGATTCTGAGGTCGTCCCAATTCCAAGAGGATTTGGCCAGCATTGCAGGCTTTCCGGGTCGAGTTTTCGTTTTCGGTCGATCCCTCTGCTCAGGACGGCCAGCTCAGAGAGTTTCGTTTCCGGTAAACGACGTCTCGCATGTCACTGTTTTGATATTGGAAAAGTGGGTGGGTGATCCCTGCAGGTAATAACCAATTTTGGCTGTCTAGCCGGTCCTGTGCCGACGGATTTGTTTTCTCGGCTTCGAACCGATTCAATAGCCCGGTAAGCATCGGGAAAATCACCGAAGCGATCCAAGGTGACCCTCGCACGGGAGATCACACTTTTGTATATCTTCTTCGTCTGCTGGTATTTTCCGCGACGAGCGTTCGAGCAAATCCGGCCCTGTCCAGGTAACCGTCAGTCCCGTTAGTCTCTCGCATGATACCAACCACGAACATCAGCGGCAAACGCTTCTATCACGGCCGTTTTGCACCGTCTCTGATTCCCAGACGAAACTGCGCAAGATACAACGTAGTAAAACAGGATAAGCCGCCCCTGCAAGCGGCTTGGATAAGTAGATAGACAGTCAGTAGTAGAGAAGATGCAACGCACAATGTTAGGCTGGACCGAGTGCAACCTCGTGCTGTCGCTCACCCGACTGCCCTCGTAGCTCATCGTGTTCGCCGCATCAAGACAGTGAAAGGGCGATGTCTCGAATGGAAGCATACGACCTGACGCCCATGCTGCGTCCGTAGATCGTTCGTGAAGGGGTATTGGACGTTCGTGATTCAATTCCTTGGAGAGCAGAGGAATCATCGACAATTTCTCCATCGTGTGTCCTGGACATTCCATTCACCTCATGAAAATGAGGAAGGGCAGATGGGGATTCCATTTACAGGAAGGTATCTGCGTTCGTCGGTCCATACCATCGCAAGGTCAAGTAGATACACTCACGAGTTCCAAGATACCGCAGTGACTTTCAAGTTCTAGGCAGCCCGTCAGTCGTTTCAGGTCCAGCGCTCAGAATACGGCGCAGACCGATGGGGATTTAGAACCGCTGTTCGTGAAGCTGACTCTTCCCTCCAGTTTCTGTGTCGATCAACCAAGCAGGAAGTAGACTGAGTGGTGTCAAACACGGGACGTTCTCTGGAAAGCACACAAATGCAACGAACCAGGAACGAGGTTTTCCGGTGTGACAGGTCTCGACCAGCCATTCCAATGTCCCAATTACTCTGTCGGAGACGACACATTTATCAAGGCGTCTTTAGGCGAGACTTGGAAACGGGTAAGCGCGGACTTTGGGTGAGTATGACACCCATAGTCCTCGACCTGGGGACGATAGTTCTTGACCTCCCCAAACAGCTGAATCTCCGGGACAGCATCGTGGAGTGATGCCGGGCTATAGCAAGTCGAAGGACCGAGAGCCAGAATGATGCTATTTGGATACTGCAAAACAGCATCATTTCTATCCGCCGTCACATCGCCCGTGACCGCGTGCAGCCGCGTCACGGCATTGCTCGTGACCGCGACACCTCCACGTCGTCCTCAATCCATTTCGGGCAAGGCTTCGATCACCTCTCTCTCTTTCGTTCCTTTTCGTTGTCCGTGGACTTCTGGCAAGCAGCCGCTTGCACCATGGTTTCCTTGCTCCTTGCTTGTGTCGCGCAGCTCCTCTTTCTCGTCAACCTCTCCCTAGCCGCGGACTCGGACTCTACAAAATCTTGGACGTTCACAATTCGGCCTCGGAGGAAGGATCTGCGGCACATGCGTACAAGAAGCTGAGCAGGAAATACCATCCCGACAAGAACAAGGATCCAGGTGCCGAAGACCGGTTGTGGAGATTGCTCACGGTGCGCGCTCCGTCACTGCTTGTCCGGTGGACGTAGGTGCTGATGCGTTCGTTAGCGTACGAAGTCTTGTCGGACCCTACGGTCCGTGCATTGTCTCTTCTGCTGTCTGCTTCATCATTCCGTTATAGAAACGAGACATATATGACCGGCATGGAGAGGTGGTTGCGGGCAGCATTCTTCGGCTGTGGTATTGACCCGATTGCAGGAGGGGCTGAAGGCACACGAGGGGGGTCGCAACAAGGCAACCCATTTGATATGTTCTCCAAATTTTTCGGTGGTGGATGTTAGTCTTCTTCCTCCATTTGTCTGCCACATCCATCATCTAAACGTGTTCCAGTCCAGCAGCAGCAACAAGCGCGTCGCGGCCCGACCTCGGTTACCGAATTTGAAGTGGAATTATCTGACATGTGCGTAGCTCGAAGCGTCTGACGACGGTGTCTGAATGCATCTCAGATACAAGGGAGCCAACAATGATGTATGTGTTCTTCGCGACCACCCTGCACCACACACCTACTGATTGTGCTTCTGGAATAGTTCATGATCAGAAGAAATTATTGTGTGCGATCACTGCCGTGGCTCTGGGCAGCTTCGGATGGCGCATCATCATACTTGTTCTGGATGTAGTGGCTCGGGTGTGAAGATGGTCAAACAGCAGGTTCGCCAAGTCCTGCCATCTCAATGCGTAATTCGATACCAACACGATATAGATCTTCCCGGGTATGTTTGCCAAGCCCAAGACGACGTGCAATGATTGTGGTGGACGAGGCAAGTTGATCAGAAGAAGTGTCCTCACTGCAATGGCAACAAGGTGAGTTGCGCGGTTTCTCATTGGATGCCGGTTCGCGAGCTTCGGCAGGTTGTCGAGCATGCGTCTACGTATACTCTCGAAATCACCCCCGGGATGCCCGAGGGTCACGAAGTTGTCTTCGAAGGCGAGAATGACCAAGCCCCGACTGGGAGGCGGGTGATGTTGTGTTGCGCGTGCGGAGCAAAAGAACAAGGGGGGCTGGAGGAGGAAGGAGAGCAGTCTCTACTGGAAAGAGACCATTGGCGTCGAGGAGGCTTTGCTCGGTTTCGAGCGCAATTTGACACATCTAGACGGCCATATAGTCACACTCTCTCGTAAGGGTGTGACACAGCCAGGTATGAGATTGATGGAACCGCACCGTACGCATGCTGAACATTTGACAGGATTCGTACAAACCATAGAGGAGGAGGGAATGCCCCACTTTGAGTCCAATACCCACGGGGAGCTGTATGTGGAGTACAATGTTGTCCTTCCGAGAGAGTTGTCGACCCCAGACACGCCGAAGTGAGTCGTATGCAGTCACTTTCTCGTGCTACGATCTGAGACCATGTTGCAGAGCTCGCCGAAGCATTTTTCGGATCTAGCACGGTCACGACGAGCTGTAACTTATATTACTATCTTCGGCTATTTGCGCGCGACTTGATTATTGTCACCGCGATGGCGAGCTGATATTGCCTGATTCTTGAGCTCTCGGATGCTAGCAACAGGAGAAGTCTCTCAACTGAATAAGATTCACGCCGCGTGATGGCGTTGCCCAGACGTCTTCTATTCGAGTGTTCTCAATATCTGAAAGGATATACTTACACCCAAGGAGTGCATATATGAGTATGAGACGAGCAGATTGCATAGACCACCACTCCATCTTTCGCCCCTTCGTTCTCTTTCCTCGGCCAGGTCGCCCTTTCTTTCGCCTGCTCACGTTCCTCGACATGTTCTCTGCCTCCGTCGTTCTCTTGCTCTCCGCATTTCTTCTTAGCTGGACCGCTCCAGTCTTTTCCAAGCCGCTGACTGTTCGCCGCGGGCCGTCGATCGCATGTGCGTCGAGACACAAGGCTTTAGTTCTTCTGACGCGAGCGTGTACGTACGATAGATGCGCGAGATAACCTACCCAACACGCGCATGTGACTTCCACCTCGTTCGACAACTACCACAACATCTCGGCACTGAACGGCTTCGACAGTTCTACGGTCCCAACAACTTTGACGGCCGGAAGAACAAGAACGATCAGAAAATTGTCATCCAGGAGAAGCAGACCCAGTGCGAAGTCGTTCGAGTGGAGATCATCCAGCAGAAGCTCGCCATCATCCAGGAGTTGGTAAAAAGGGATTGGAGATTTCAGTGACGACGAATGGGGGCCCGCACTCAGACGACGCGTGTAGGATAATCACCGGCAGATCTGCGACGTCGAGACTCAAACGATCGTTCTCGAGCAGCACAACGGGTCAGTCGCAACCCACTTGGTTGCCTACATGTCACGGCCAACGACGGGCTGACGACGAGCAGAACAGCGTCCTCAAAGTCCTCGGGCCGACCATCCAGCGCACCGTTGTGAAGAAGCAGATCGGGTACGACAAGAGCATCGCGGCCAAGTTGAGCCAGATCGTGGAACTCAGATGGGACGCTGAACTCTAATGACCTCGGCTTCAACGGCACGGACGTCGGGAAGAATACGGTTGTTCCCGCGGGCAATAACTGGAATGATGCCACGTCCCCGGCGCTCGTGAAGGCCGCGCTCCAGGCAGCCATTGCCGCGACCAAGTCCAATGGGACGGCTGCTGCGACTAACACGACGGGAACGCATTGATTGATGACAATATTGCTGAGATTGGACTTTTTTTGTAGTATGCTTCTGGCCCTGTGATGTAGCTCAATACAGGACATTCAGTGAGAAGGCGGACGGACGGATGAGTCGCCGGAATATTTTCCACCGAGGAACGGCGGGGTTCTGGCCCTACGTATGAGCGAGATCTTGGGCGATGTCATTGGTGACAAAATCTTGAGTTTGAAAGCTGGAATCTTATTCAGACCAGCTGGGGCCGGACCATCGGACCGAGTGCCGGTGGGAGTTGATACTAAAGCACGGATGCATCACGCACGGGGTTCCCGCACTTGACGCCCACATCCGTGACGTCCTCCGGCCACTGCCTTGCCAGGCTCTTTTGGTGAGCGCATTCGTGTCACCCTCCGGTTTCGTTGCCGCTCATTCCAGGGACAGCAATCGCGCCGTGTCCCAGACGCTGAGTGGGCACTCTTTCTCTCATGCCGGTCTTGCAGTGATGATGCAGAGTGTCTGGACACACAGGAATCATCCCGGGAAGAGGCGCCTGGGTGATTCCGAAGACAATCGACGCAACAAACGCCGTCGGTGCCGTGATTAGTGCCAGAGAGTTGACAAGCTTTTGCCCCAAAAATCAAGTAACCCAGGTCGCTCGCTCATGCCAGTATGATACATTGCAGGATGTTAATACACGTCTTGTCATGGCACTTATGCCTGGCCGCATGTCACAGTCTGCCTCAAGCCGGACAAGAAAGACTCACTAGGTAGTTGTAGGACTTGCGATCGTCGCATCGTTCAAGGTACTCCCGCTGGAATGGCTCAGTCGTCGGCAGCTACACCAGAACCGGGGAAACCACGCACATCGATCAGGTTCTCGATCCGTTTCTTGATATTCAGCGGGTTGGGATTGAACCGAGTCGCCAGCTGACGAGTGACTTCGTTGACAAGATCGTGTGTGTCATGTGTTTCCTGTCCTTCATGATCCGCACTATGCAGGCCTGATTGTGTCCGGCTTAGCAGCAGTAGCCCAAGCCAAGTGTAGATCAGACACACCTCGGTCTGATGCTTTCGCTCTTCCTCAATCCGATCCCTCGTCTCCTTCTGCTCGTCCGTGTTCTCCACCTTGGACGAGATAGTGCTGATCTTGATCTTTTGCAAGTTCGAAGTGAAGTCTGCATTGAACGAGAAGGAGTCCGACGGGATCACCTCTCGGCTGGCGGGGTGTTTCTTGAGAATCTTGAACTTGGCACATGCCAGTGATTGCAGATGCCTTTGCAATATTTCCTCGTCCTCAATGCCTGTTGCCTGTTTGATTTCCTAGCAAAGCAATTGGCAATCTAGTGCTGACGGCTTTCACGTCGGAAACGCACCTCGTATGTGAGAAAATCATCCGGACCCTGGTCTTCAAAGAGGAGAAGAATAACCATTGCAATGGTGGAAAGGTTGAGGTCGTGCTTTCTCGCCTTGAAGGTTACGCGAACGTCAGCGCTGCCCAGTGTCGGCTGCCACGTAAGCCGACGACCAGTGTGCTGAGCGAGGTAGAATTTCTCGAAAGACTGCAGAGTCTCGATCAGCTCCAAAGGAAGCTGGCATGGTGTCGTTGATTGCGTCATCGGCCAGAACGTAGAGGTCATCACGATGGCCGATAATTCGATCTTGGGTGGCTACGCATGGCTTGAGATAAAACAGCTTTGGGGTGACTGACTGGGGAACTTACGTGGTCCAAATACAAGCTAGTGCTCTTGTACGATCGCATGGTGTCTTCAGAAAGCCGCATGTCATTGAACATTCCCTCCAGCTTCTGGGTGAACTGGTAGCCACATTCCACCTTGAGTTTCGCCAGCATCCCCCTCTCCGCATCGTCCGAAACAGATCGACCTTGGAGCAGCCGCTTGGCGAGATGCCCTTTATAGTATCGCTCAAACACATCTTTCTCTGTGATGTACCGGAACACTGTGATCGTCTTCTCAAGTACCGCGTCCACTTCGGTATCGGTTTTCTGCACACAAGTCAGCACGATGACACATGCAAGAAGACCCATCAGCTGACCCCCTTCAGTCCACGACGTAGGTTGTCGTCGATGAACAGCGAGATGAATTCCGAGGAGCGCTCATTGGCGTTGATGAATGACTCAAAAGCCTACAGAATTCTCAGAACCGCTCAGCCAGCCAGCGATGGAGAGTTACTGACCTCGTTCAGTGTAGCTTCCAGTTCTCTGTCAGCTGCAAATGCATCTCTCCAGATGACGTCAAAGAGATCCTTCAAGTTGAGCACCTCTTGCACCCAATTGAGAGCGAGTAGTAGCGTCTGGGCGCCAGACGTCACACGTTTCGATCCTCCACCATCCCCTTCACCTAGTGACGTCTGGTTGATCCCATCTCCTCTTTTTCGAATGCCCTGTCTGAAGGCCCGCTTCAGACAGGGCATACCGGCCGGGACTGTAATAAATAGTCGGTGTAAACGAGCTATGTCAGAGATCTTGTTCAAGTCGATCATGGCATCCAGCCCGGATGATTCCATAGAAATGATGGTGGCTAGATGTGCAGTCAATAGATGGTCTTGAAGGATTTGGCGTAGTGCCGGTGCGGTCGTCCGGGAAAGATAATGGTGTGTCCGAGAATCTTCGGATTCAAATCGTGCTTCGACCTATGCATGGGTCAGAGACGACGATGAATCCAGGAGATTTCCGTATTACACGCAGTAGAAATTCCGAGGCATCGCAAGTTTGAGTGAGGGTGTGACCCTCGGCTTCATAGAACTGTTGGCTCTCACGCAACAAAACGGGCTCAAGATCACGCTTGTAGATGCTGCCGCTGCTGGAGTCCTGGAGCGCGACAAAGACATCAACGCATCCCTTGATGGCAGAACGGTTGACTGTGTGTCCATGTCGCTCGTATCGGACCTGGTTCAAGATGGCAGTAATAAGGTGGTCCTTGATCAACGGCCGGAATATGCGTTCGAGAAACAGCGCAAGCCCTGCATCCCATATCTCTGGAACTTGCGCGGTCTTAGTATAAACCGATCCTACACTGGGCAATGAAGTGGGAGAACATCACGCCGGGCTGTGCACGTACCATGTACTTGAGAATCTGTCCAAGCCTGACCATATTGCTCGTGTGATCATCCCAAATATTTCTCAGTGCCTTCAGTAGTACTTCGGCATCCTGACTCTGCACCGTCCCGTCACCAGCGCCCGAAGGGAACACGGGAATGACTTGGGTATTCGCAAGGTGATCCAGATTCTCCGTGATCAGCTCTTTCACACCGTTGTACAGCATGGCACCGTTTTTGTGAAGCACCATGTTGTATGCAAATCGGTGATTCTCCTCAAATGAAAGGTTCTGTGCATTGTGGTTCTGTATCTCGCGGATGTTGTTCGCTAGATCCGACCACGTTTTGTCGATGGAAACATCAGGACCATGCTGGGAGACACTCAGTATATGTTGGGATATGAATCGGACCCTTGGACCTTTCGAGGAGGTTTCTGTTATGCCGCAGATGAGTCGAGAGACGCGTCAGGACTCGAAATCAACATACAATCTTCGGTCTACCGCGGCGCGCCACTGAGAGGATAGCAGTGAGCGTAAGCCTTCCATTTTCAAATGAACGTACCTGAAGACATTATTCGTTATCCAAGAAGGTATGCAAAGAGCGAAGCTGTGGTAGGTTGTAAATGAGGCGTAAACGAGAACGTGACGGTGGCTGTGATGCCGAGGCCGAGATAATCACCGGCAGCGGTCTTTCGCGAGATCTCTCCATCTTCCCCTGTTCTACTTCTTATGCAGCGAATGGCAGGTAAAGAGCCTATCAAGGTTGGCATCCTGGGAGCCACTGGTACAGTTGGCCAGCGCTTCATCACCCTTCTATCTGTACATCCGTGGTTCACCATCCATGCTCTCGGTGCATCATCTCGTTCAGCGGGTAAAGTCTACGCTGCTGCCGCCAATTGGAAGCAGATCACCTACATGCCCAACGCTGTGAAGGACATGATTGTTCATGAATGCAAACCGGAGCCCTTTGCAGAGTGTGCCATAGTGTTTTCGGGGTTGGATTCAGACGTCGCCGGGGAAATTGGTATGTCCGATGACTCATGCGACCCTCGTTTTTCGTCTGACGCTGGGCAGAGAGCGCATTCAGAGCCGCTGATCTGGCTGTCTTTTCGAATGCGAAGAACTATCGTCGAGATCCGCACGTTCCACTCATCGTCCCTCTCGTCAATCCCGAGCATCTTTCCATCATCGGCCAACAGCAGGCACTGCACTCCCCGCCTCTCAAAAAAGGATTCATCGTGACGAATGCCAACTGCTCGACCACCGCTCACGTCATCGCACTCGCGGCGCTGGAGAAAGCTTTCGGTCCGCTTGAGACACTCATGATCACGACCCTGCAGGCGATCTCCGGTGCCGGCTACCCAGGAGTTCCCAGTCTAGACATCATCGACAATGTTGTTCCGTACATCTCCGGGGAGGAAGAGAAGATCGAATGGGAGACTCGCAAAATACTTGGAGGGATGGAGGAAATGGAGGGCCAGACCGTGAGCGGTCGGCCGCTGCAACAGTTCGACATGCATGCCCAGACACCGCTGAAAATATCCGCTGCATGCAATCGAGTGCCAGTGACGACAGGGCACATGATCAATGTTTCTCTCAAGTTCTCACGTCGCCCACCGCCTTCTCCTCAGCAAGTATGTGAGGCTCTGAAAGCCTACCGCTCGGACGCGCAATTGCAAGGATGTCCATCCGCCCCATTGCAGACCATCACAGTACACGACGCACCCGATCGCCCTCAGCCTCGAATGGATCGAGCACATCAGGACGGCGCTGGCATCAACGTCGGTCGCGTCCGCCAGTGTCCTGTCCTGGACATCAAATTCGTCGTCCTCGCCGACAACGTCAGCATCGGCGCCGCGACTAGCAGCATCATCAACGCCGAGTACGCTGTGCTCCAGGGCGTGGTATCTTCATAGAAATGTAAATCGTTAGGAAATTTCAATCGGAATATGTACAGATTGTTCTTCGTCGTGGGTCTGCACATTTCTGTAAAACGCGTGGGACACGTGATCGTTCCTACACACTTTTCCCATGAGCGACGAAGCGGCTCTCAAAGCAGCGGTATTCCAGCGCCTTCATCCTCGCGCGTATCTCGAACGCTTCGTCTCGGAGAACTATCGACCCGACGGCCGCTCGTTTGACGCCTGGCGAGACGTTTCCGTCAACGTCGGTAGGTATGGCTCGACGATCTTCGCCCCGACGCGCTCTCATTCAGTTTCTCGCAAGGCTCTATCTCTACCGCCGACGGATCTGCTCTAGTACGCCTTGGTGAAACTACGATCGTATGCGGAGTCAAGGCTGAGATCGCCGAGCCTGAGCTCGACAGTCCCGATTCTGGCTTTTTCGGTGCGGGAGATCATCGGCGCTTCCTCAGCCTTGAAGATATCTGAATCACTGTCCCAGTACCAAATCTGGATCTCCCCGCCTTATGTTCACCCAAGTTTAAGCCTGGCCCACCCAGCGACGAAGCACAAGTGCTCTCGGATCGCCTCAACGAAGTTCTCGCATCGTGCGTTCCTTCGCATCTTCCCTTCCTTTCAAGCTGATAGCCCTGTAGTACAATAGCCCTGTCCGATCTTGTCATCCATCCTGGCAAGGCCGTCTGGGTTCTCTACGTCGATGCGACGTGCATAAACTACGACGGCAATGTCTTCGACGCGGCCGTCATTGCGATGGTGTCTGCACTGCGAAACAGTGCGTGAAAACCAGATTTTTTCTTCTCACGCTGACCGTCTCGGCTGCAGCTGGGCTTCCTAAAGCCACATACAACCGGAGACGGGACAGACGCTATGTTCTAGAACCGAACGCCTGCCCCTGAAGTTGTCTAAAAACCCGATAAGCATGTCGTTCGGAGTGTTCGACTCGTGAGTGGGTGCAGCATTCGGCCATTCTAGTCTCTCATGCCCCGATCAGGACTCTGCTCGTGGATCCCACTTCCTTTGAAGAACCGCTGCTGGACACCACGTTTTCCATCGTTGTGGACGAAAACGGGCAGCTGATGTCAGCTACGCAGCAGGGGCCCGGTCTGGAGAGGGAAGACACGCTTTCCACATGCATAACCGCTGCAAAAGCGCGCCGGGGACTTGTCGGCCAGCAAATACCATGATGCTTGCTCTCAATGCCAGTGCTTTGACTCCGATTATGCTACAGTACATACGACTGCGGTGATTAGTGCTTGTACAAATTGGTGTGATCATTAGTAAAACAGTGTGAGATATATGCAAGACGGGTAACAACAAACACATCCGGTCATGACCGCGCCGCTCGCACAACATCAGCAAAGTACTTGCGGAATGCCCTGGCGTCGAGATCTCGTAGATTGGTCGTCAGCTCCGCTGCGGTTTGGGGTGGCCAGCCCTGTGCTGGGAGGAACACATTGGCGAAGAAGGCCTCGGCCTCGGGCCCGCGTGCCTTGGATATGGTCTGCAACAGCACTCCGATTTCGTTGATCACCTGGCTGTGGCCAGGATCCTTCAAGTTAACTTCCGGGCGGAACAGAATCGGAAAAACAGCGGGGATGATCCGGTCGTAGAGATACTGCTCGAAACCCGGCAATGATTTTTCTGCAGTGCCACTCCCGTTCGTGACAGCCGACGATTGGCCCCAGACTGTGACAGATCGGATGAGGAACAGCAGCGCCGCCCGCTGGCAGGAAGGATCCGACGTGTCGCAGGCGATCTGAAGCATGCTTCCCATGAGCGAGTCGAAGCCTCCGCGGTTTCCTTTGCAAGCAAGATCAGACCAAGAGGGAGCACAGATGACACATCATGCTCACGTTCTGAGATAAACACAGACGTCACTTTTGAGTTGAGAATGCCATTAAGGAGAGTGAGGTACGCTTTTTTGTCTCGAGTTGCAGGCGTTGCTCGTCGGTACCAGAGACGGGCTGTGCCAGAAGGCCGGTGATATGCGTGCTGAGCGGCCCGAAAAGTTCATCGAGGACAGAGTACATGTCGTTCTGCACTGTGTTAAGCCCGTAACTGATACTACACCCTGGAGGCACCTACTTGAAGTTTGTGGATCAACAGCCCAAGGAAGTTGAGGAAGTCGACCAGCTCCGATGGCTCAAAGTGCGAGAGAAGGTCGGACATGAGCTGAGGGATGAGGTGCGTGATGTTGGGTCCCGTAGTTGCTAGAATCCGCGCGAAAGCGAATCGACTCTGCCAAAGATGTCAGCCTCGGTACGTGACAATTCAGCTATCCACTGCTTACAGCGTCTCGGACGTCTTTGAGAGTGTTCATTGCTTCTAAGCAAACCAGGATGGCCTGCGAGATCTCTCGGAACTGGTCTATGGGTAAGGGTATATAGTCTGCGGGCACTGGATTCGGGTAATCGGGGAAGCCTTTTGTCACCGTCCCGAGCGCCATGATAGCATGGTGCACTCGCACGATGGGGACCAGATCCTGGTTTCCCTTCGCACCATAAGCTTGCAGATTGTCCGACAGCTCAGACATGAGTGGTTTGACGAAAGAGAGCAGTAGTGACGCCAGCTGATCAGGGGTTTTCCACGTCAAAGAGCAGAGCGTGCCCACTGTCTCGTACAGATACAGTTGCGAGTCAAAAGTCGGATCGCGTACAGCCTCGGCAAGGACGTCAGATGAGTCCTCGGCCTCGGCTTCTGGGAGCTGGACTTCGATACACAACAGGTCCCGAATGCTATCTGCGATGTTGGCGGCAACCTCGGCAGGGATGTCGTGCTTGACCTCCTTGATGAAGCGGTGGAACAAGTAGAAAAGCCGTAATCGATGGTTGGTTTCCGTGCTGTGCAGACCACTAATCGAAGTTGAGTTCGTGGGCTCTCAATGCAGTCGCAAGACCTACCGGGAATCAATCATGGCTTCAAGGATCGGAAGGATACACTCTTTGCGGACTTTGAAGAAGTCGGGGTAACGGGAAACGGCCTCAAAAAATTGAAGGGCGACCCGGCGATCCGGGTGCGAAGACAGGTTGGATTGGATCAGTGCAAAGAGCATCTCACCATGGGGCGTCAGAGGATAGATAGAATAGTCCGCCACCTTTCTTTGACCCTTGTCCACGGCAGGAGCTTGACAGAACGCGGCTCGGCCTTTGCCACCCCCTGCAAGGAGTGTTTGAGCGGCCGTGTTCAGATATCAAGAGTTGATTCACCTTTATTGATTTCTCCGAATGCGTAGATAAGATAAGCCGCGAGTTCAGAGTCGTTCCATTTCACGGGGACGCCCGTTTGATGGGCATTGATGGTGGACATAACCAGCGTGTAGATGGGCTCTACGACGAGAGATTCGTCCACTACCTGCACCGAATCGATGAATGTCCTCAGTTCCTTCGAACCAGACATTAATAAACTGTCAAGAGCTCAACAAGCAACACTACCTTGCGCAGCGAGTCAAACTCAGAGATATCATCTTCATCTGGATCTTCTAGATCGGTTTCCTCGTCCCATTTGAGTTTCCTCAACATTACTTGCATGAGCGAAGTAAGGAACGACCGTTTAGTCTCATCCAGCCGGTCCGCAGACGCTTTGCGGGCACGTTTGTACTAGGGATCAGATCAGTGTATGCCCTTTCCAATTCACGACAAAAGGGGAGCCTACGCTTGCGAGGATACTTTGCAGCAGCGGGAAAATGGTGGTGCATGTGTCGTCGTATTCGTCGGCCATGAATTGCAACATGATGGGCAGTATCTGGCCCAAAAGTCCAGACGCCTCTGTTCTGACGTCCGGCTGGACTCCATCCTCAAGTAGTTTGGAGAGTTCGAGTCCAAGCACGTTGAGAAGCTTGCCTAATGCTTCCCGGTACAGTTCTTCGTCCTCATCCGTGTCCGACCGTGCAGCTTGCTCAGCCCTTGTCCTGGCCTCAAGAGCTTCGATAACTTGACCCAGAGATAGGACTTTGAGAAGTTGCAGCTTGTCTGTCGGTTCTTTCAAGCCCTTAGTGACAATTTTGGACATTGCTGTCACGGTGGCAAGACGGATGGGGACAGCTGGATCTGCGAGCAGATTAAACAATAACGGAACGGTAGTCGGAGTGACAGTCAGGTTGATGTCGATCCACCCTGTAGTCCATTATGTCAGGAAAGGGAGAGTGTGTGTATCAAGCTGAAGTCGCACCAACATACGACCCAAAAGTCCTGATTCCGAGATCCACCGTTTCAACAGCAGATGCTTTTTCGCGGTCGGAGGTGTCATTTCTCTTGATGAGTTCTGTCGCGTCCGCAACGATGGTCAGCACAGCCTCGTTTATCCCAGCGGCGTCTCGCTCTCTGACTGCATCCCGGACGCGTCCATCGCGTTGATGACGAGTCTCGTCGAAGGTGCGCGCCGACTTGAGCAGCTGGTCGGCCACTTCTCCAGAAATCTCGAGCACAATGTGGAAAAACAGAAGGACGATGTGATGGTTGAACGCCGGTTGATTCGACGATGATTGTGCGGGACGAATCAGGGTAAACAAGTCCGCGAAGAATGTCGGCCATTGTGAGATATATGTGCAGAGAAAGAAGAGGGTGAGCGTGTGAGAGAATTTGTTCCTAAGGACTGAGAGACGCGTTCAATAGGGTACGAGCATGTGTGGCAGCCGATCTCACAGGTGGAATTGGCTTCCGCCTGCCCAAACACATATTCGCTCTGGATGTAGTTGAGAATACCTTGCTGAATAGTTCGAAACGAATCCTCATCCAACAGCTCGAATCTAAAGAACACGATCACGGTCAGCGCAACATGATAATTTTGTGACAGAGGCAACGCGTAGATAATCGGGGAAACACAAGTATGCGCCAAATAGTAGGAGGCGGGCGGATCGCTCGAGTCTCGCTCTAGATTCACTGGAGACTCACCGATTGTCAAAGAACTCATCCAACACCCTCAACGCGAAAAATCGAGCTTCGGGTTGGTACTTGCGCGTGCCCTCTGGATTTACATCAATGAACAGGCGCAGGGCAATCCTCCACGTAGTTCCAGCGTTTTGTTGAATTGTTCCGAGATAGTCCAAGGCCTGTTGGTGGAGGGCAGCTTGTGCCGGGTCCGATGCGATGGTGATTGCTTGCACAATCTGAGTAAGTTCTTGTTCCATCGTGAGCTTTCAAACTCAGATATTTTGGATGGCGTGGATTCGTGTAGGTTCGTAGGGGCCTGCGAAGCAGTGCCCCGTGAGTCGAAGTGAGATGGATGTGAGTCTGACGAAGTTGCTGATCGCGCTGTGTACCAAATCGGGAAAGGGAAGTTTTTGCCTTGTGATCGAAGTCGCGTGTAGCGGTCGCGTGCATGGAACATGGAATCCACAGGTCGGGCAAGGGCATGTATAGACTAGAATTGCAACATAAACAACTCTCCGAAATGGGTAGTAAGACAGACACGGCCTGTGGCCTCTTCTAAAGCTAGACACTGGACCCTGCGCAACTCAAAGGGCAGGGCTTTGTGCTTGGCCAGCAATGGCTCGACTACGACCCGTTGTGTATTATCCAGAGGTATGATTGCCTTCATCAAAGTGAACTCGTCTGTCCCCCATTGCTTCTCTAGCCACACAGCGCGAGTTCCTGTTTCACCTAAGCAAACCATCTCGGCCGAAGTGGCAGTGTGTGTCGGGAACGGATGGACCCAAGGATGCGTGCGTTTATCATGGAGGGATAGCCGGACGAGATCCGCACGCTGTCCAAAAGTACGGAAAAATAGTGTGGTGAGATGACCCGACCCATGAGTAGAATCAGCAGAAAGATGATAGTTTGCACGTGGCAGGATTGGAATCTGTTCTTCGACTTCAGGAGCCGGGAGCGGTACCACAAGCCTGTGTCTCCGGGCAATGAGCATAGTGTGATCCCGGACAGCGGTTAGTACAAGCTGTCCGGGGTACAGTTTGAAGTGCACTTGAGCTAGATCCTGGCAAACAGCGTAAGCAGGACCTGCAGCATGGGGATGAACACTCACATCCGTCAGAAGAGGATCTAGAGAGAATCGGGCCCCCGTAAGAGTGTCTATCGTCAGAATACGATATCCTGACGCACGATGCAGATCCTGCTTGATCTGCGGGATTCCGACAGCAACAGTATGCCCAAAGATGTGCACTTCGTAGAACGGGCCGTCAGCCTCTGGCCTCGAGATATCGCAGATGAGATCATGCGGTCGGTAAATTCCAAGTTCTGGGTCTGCCTCAAGTGCAACGGAATATACAACGAGTCGTGTGCTTCGAGCAGCAGCCAAAATCACAGCGATGGTAACGTGTGTGCAATGCTCTTGCATCGAAGCCGCAAATGTCAACGGCATCCCGTAGCCGGAAAGACCGATTGAAGCTTCGCGAGATGCCTGCTTGGTGCCGGCCATGCGCAAAACTGCCACTGCCGGCGGAGACCGCCTGAGGACCACGAGCCAGCCTGAACCTATGAACTGAATCTTCATGACATTGTCCATCTCCTCGAGACGAGCAATGCTCCGTATTTCGGGGTATGGCCGCCGCCAGTTATTGTCGACCCGCAACGCATGCGTGACCAGAGTCTTGAGCACCGGCCCGGTCAGCAGATTTCGATTCACGTAGGGCGGAATGACCAAGGGGAGTTGCTGCGCAGATGAAAGCTGGTGCCAGATATAATCGTTCATCGTGTATTCGTGTAGGCCACGACACGTCTGTCCGGAAACACGTTGGCAATCGCAAAGCTCAGATTCTATCAGGACGAAACAAGCGCACCTGGTTAAGCACCAATAGATCCTCCGCCGACAGCAAGATGAACACGTTAATGAGGACATCATGAGGTAGAGACAGAAGCGCAGCCATGAGGACTCAGGTATGGTGAAAGCAAGTGCATCTACTTATGTCGATGCTTGAAACTGACTTCGAATGTAAGACGAAATGAGCATGTTAGCCGGCCATCAGGCATCGATCATAGTAAGCGCCGGCCGGCTCCGATGGTATTAAAGCAGCCGAGACGGCTCCTTTCCACCATCCATTCACCTCTATCATGTCTGAATTGGACTTGTCCGACTCAGACTGGCTCGAAGTATCCAGCATCCACAGCTCTGACAACGATTCCCTTAGCGATAGCTCACGATGCAGCGAACGCGGCGGTCTTGCGTCGCTGCCACTGTCCCGTCGCTCGTCCATAAGTCTCGGGAGTTCTGCTGATGACCAGATCGATGCATGGGAGGGCTTTGTAGAGGAAGGAGGCACAGCCGATAGCCCAGGACCAAGCTCGGAGACACTACCCGTGACGGAGCTCATCCATGATGACCACGACCCCCTGGTTACCGCACTCGACCAGAGCCTCGTCGGCACTCTGAGTGCTTCACGATCCAGCTCCCTCGGTGCCTCTTCCACTGTTCAGAACTCCCTCCGTGATCTGAGGTTATCGTTTCCCGATCCTCTCACCAGTTCCCGCGATGAACTCCAGCGCTCGTACGAGACGGTGCCATCCCCCGATATCTGTATCACGGACGATGTTCCCAATTCGCCGATGACCACAGTACTCGGGAAGGATGTTGATTTCACTGCCGCCGGAGATGCCCGCGATTATCATGTCGCTCCCGATGTCCAAGTCATTTCCCTCAAGGAATACAATGTTGTGCTGTACGGCGCGCATGACTTCGGCACTTTCATTTCATGGCTTCTCTCCGTTATGGGTGTCCGCGAGGGTGCAGAGCGGTCGGTGGATAGCATCGCTTTCGACGTATGTTCACTTTCGGTCCTTTCTGTTCACTGATTTCATCGTGGCTTTCAGCCGAGTCCTAGCGTCGAAAGGCCTTCGATCGGTATCTTATCTCTCCATTCTTCATTCTCCCGCAGTCTTCCTTTGCATTCTCTCTATATTCCCGCTATATTTCCCGCCCAGAGCGACGAGGATCTTCTCGAGCTTCACTCGAAAGCCGTCACGCGTTGGGGATCTCTCAGCATCCCCGATTCACATATCCTCAGGCTCATAGACGCAGAGGGAGCTCAGATATTCGTCGATACCCCCATTTCTCGACAGTCTGTCCATTCTGCATCTGTCCAGCGCCAACTCGAGCAGATGGTGCGGTCACCTCCGAAGAAAGGACGGAAAGGGTTCGAACAATTGAAACCAGCGCACGGAGTGACATTGTATGGATCTCTATCGAGTTGAACATGCAAGATGACTGAGCTTCCGATTATAGCGTGGCTCTGCTCTCGTTAATCATGGGCTTTGCAGTCCATACGGCCTGGCGCACAGCCCATCCTCCGAGTCCAACATCGGTTGCGACCGCAGTCCTTCCTGTGCAACCCACGTCTACGAGCTACTACCTCCCGGTCGACTCGCAGCCCCACTCGTCCCTATCTCGAGCAGCTGCACCTATGATCACGACCGCGCTAGTGCCTTCGACTCTGAAGGAGTTTGCGCTGGCAGTCTTCAATCCTCCGATTCAATTTGCGTCCTTGTCTTCTAGCGCAGCTAGTTCAATGCCTAGCAAGTCGGCGACCATACGTCCTGTAGCGTCGAAGGGGGCTCAGTCCACCACCGACGTGATCTTGCGTCCTTCGACCTCGTTGGCCAAAGTTGTCAACTCTAAATCCGTCCAGACTTCTACGCCGCCCAGCTCTCCTCTTTTACTCGACGCGCCGCAGGTGGCAGCTTCTCTGAGCCTCAGAGTGGCCGGTTCCTTGTCCGAGATTGCGACTGCGGCGATGAAAGCTCTGGAGGAAATCGTCGGTCCCGAGTTCGGAGAGATTGTCTTGGCCATCGACGATCTCATGCGTGCTATCGGACGGCAGACTACTGCTATCGCACAGACTTCGAGGGCCCGGGCCCGGATGCTGCGCCATGTGCTCTCCCAGCGAAACGAACGGGCCAAAGGCAAAGCACGGCAGCTCAGTCAGACATTGGTTTCGACTGTCGGGATCGAGCTGAGGGCTCGAGCTGATCTGGCAAGGAGCAGAGCACATATGATCAAACACAATTTCGTGGAGTCTGGTCTCTGGCGTTCCTATATCCAGGCTCATGGAATGTGGTCTGACAAGCTCCATGTGAGCCAGCCGCGATCTGAGCGACGCCGAGGTCCTACTTTTGCTCGGCACCAGAGAGAAAGGCGCTGACCTCCATGTGATATGATCTCCGTTAGTACGATAGGTAGGTAGACAATGTATGTTATGTGTATGAAACTATGAATTGTATGGTCATATGGATATCGCACTGAATTAGGTTTATCCATGACTGGCACCGCCTCCGGGCTTAACGTGTGTCAGACCTAGTCCTTCGCCATCACAGTCATTCAGTGTCGAATCGTCCATTATAGATAGATTGGACGGTTTCACTCTCGATGATCAATTCAAGCACCCATGGCGCACGTCGCATACCCCTCCACGCCCAACTTCAAAAACTGCAAATCGAACTACGATCGGTCCAAAGCAGCAGCCAATGATTTGTCAGTAACGCCCGACTCAGAGTCTTCGACCGACTTGCTGCCAAAGCGACATCCATCGAGAGGGACATTCCTGGGGACTGTGAAGCTGCACGGAACGAACGCTACTATTGTGTTCTCCCACGGCAGCAAAACACCGCAGATTCAAGCACGCTCGTGGATCATACAAAGCACATCGAAGGACAACAGCGGGACGTTTGCCTTGCTGTCAAAAATCCCACTTTCTCAGCTGGTCGATCAGATTCTCGCTGTGCAAGGCTGTGGAAATGCGTTTGATGAGATCTATGTGTGCGGAGAGATCGCCGGGAGGGGTGTTCAGAGAGGGGTCGCTATCACCCAACTGGAGGTGCGTAGTGCTTTCCGTCTATAGTTTCGGCTTTGAGAACTCAAGTACGAAGCCATTCTTCGCTGTCTTCAACATCAGGATTGACGGCCATTGGATGGACATGCGAAAGGTACAATCCGTCTCCGACCGGGGCACAGTCTAGTAACAGAAACTGATAGTACAAGTCTTGCGCCCTCCCGGGCTACCGGCTGTACAATATCGCACAGTACAAGACTTTCGAGATCGACATCGATTTCGACTCGGAGGAATCCACGACAGAAGCCAACACCCTCATGAATGAGCTCACCGCAGAGGTCTGCGCCCAATGCCCGTTCGCAGGGGCGTTCGAGAAAGATGGACAGCAGATCGTCGGTGCCGGAGAAGGGATTGTTTGGACAATGGTGTCGAGCGGGACCGACGAGTTCGACGACACATTGCTTGTGAACTTCAAGACCAAGGGCGACCAGTTCAGCACTGTTTTGCGTCCTCCAAAGAACAAAAAGTCGCTTGGCCTCGAGCTTCCAGAAGCGTGTACGGAGTTTGCGGACTATGCCCTTGGAGAGCGACGAATGGAGCAGGGAATCGAATACCTAGAGGGCGAACAGGCCCGCCAAGGCCTCCCGATCGCTGGCATCGACATCAGACTGATTGGGCCGTTTATCAAGTGGGTCGTTGACGATGCGATCCGTGAGGAGAGAAATGAGATGGAAAGGCTATCGATCGAAGAGCGAGACGCGAAGAAGGTGCTTGGGGCCCGAGTGCGAGCCTGGTATATGCGCAAGTGCAACGAATGACTATTATCATGTGACCGTCTGTTGGAGCGCTCTTGAGTATTGAATTTCTTGCATACATTCGCGATCAGTAAAACATATTATGAAATGATTGAGCACTAGTGCTTAGATACGATTGTGCTAGTAAGCGACGGGCGGCCAATCAGGAAGAGATGTCAAGGCTGCGTTGGATGCTTCCCTGACCCTGGACTTGGAAGAGAGATCGCCGGACTTTCGGTAGTTGGCAAAGACCTCGTGCATCTGGAATGAGGACGCAGAGATAGAATCTGCGGTCGTTATGAATGGATGGACGGGCGAAGCTGTGCATCGCAACTCACCAGCATTGGACTCGGCTTCCTTGGCCATCTGAAGTTGGATTCAGTTCACGACTCGAGACCAACGCATTCACTGACCGCCTGCAGTCGAACAGCTTCGGACTGGTACTGATTTGCCAAAGCCGGACTCCATTTCATCTGTGCCTGTGCCTGCCCTTGGCATGTGCCCACATGGTCCAAGATCTCCGTCTTTCTCGCCCCCCAAGCATCCTTGAGCCCATCGAAGACCGCGAAAAGGTCCCGCCAAGCAGCGGGGTCCCAGATCTCTATTCGAGCTTTGTTCACCCGAACGAAATCGCGGGGGTGCAGCTGGCCAGTGGGTGACGTCGATGTCGTTGTCGGGGATTGCGCGCCCCCGGGAGTCATCGACGATCCAGGTGTACCCGCCTGAGTTTGCAGCTGTGCTGGCTGTTGCTGTGACTGCCCCGCCACTCCATCCCATCCCTGCCCCAGCGCGGAGTACGGATCAAACTGCGCAGCATAGCCAGGGCTCTGGAGCTGTGCCTGGGCCGGCGTGTACGCTGTCCCGGCGCTGGTGTTCTGCTGCTGCAGATATCCATAACTGCTTCCACTGATGTGAGGCTGTCCCGGAAGCTGTTGCCCGTATGAGCTCGTCGGCTGGAAGGGAATCGGCGATTGCATGCCCTGCCACTGCTGCTGCGGCGCATATCCCGGGCTGAACTGCTGGGCTTGTGGTTGGAACTGCTGATGGAATTGCGGTTGCTGCGGTTGCTGCGCCGTGAACTGCTGTTGCGAATACTGCGGTCCCATATTTCCTCCGGGCGACTGCATGCCAGGTTGAAGCCATTGGGTGAACTGTCCTGTGGGGTCCTGTCCAGGCGAAGGCTCAAGAGCAGGAAATCGTGATTGCGGATCAAGCTGGAAAGGATTGTTTGCGGCGTAGTTCATGTCGGGTATCTCGAAGACAAGAGACAAGAAGATGAGGGTTAGTGAGTGTATGTATGTATCCGAGTGCTGATTGCCTTGCTTGACAAGGCTTCTCCACCCCCATAATTCGCATCAAAATAGTGCCGGATTGATCCGTTTGTGACATACCAATTTTTTCCGATGTAACAATGTAATGACATGACATTTGACATTTCCTCTTGCGCGCTACAGTGTCACTCGCCTCTCTATTTGCCCCGCCTCTTCATTTAGCTTTCAGATTGTCTCGACGTATTTTGATTACTAAGAACAGGCTTCTCCTATAAGAATTGGTTTCTGGATTCCTTTACTGCTGTTTGTCCTCCATATTGCTCTTTGTCATTTGCTCCCACCACTTTTGGGGATTCAAATTGCGCCACATCCCTTTTGAGGTGACTGCCACTATGCAACAAGCTTTTGGGTAATTGCTGAAATATCTTGATGGCAGTTAACCTTGGAAGATCCATTGAGAGAAGGGTGTAAGAGCTTCGAGGGGTCACATTTCTTGTTTTTGATTGGGTTAATCAGCGCATGACCTGGAGGATTGGCTGGCTCATCAAACCGAAGGGCGCAACACTATTCGGGAAATGAGCAAGGAAGAAACGCACATTGTGCATGGGTTGCCCACGTACAATCAAGAGGGTGCACTGTGTTGTAATTTGACTATGTCATAACTCGACTCTTTTTCATCTTATCATTGGCGATCTTATCTTATCTTGGCACGACTTATCTTATCACGGATCACGGCATCAGACGGTCCGGGTTAGGGGTTCCAGGGGTTATCTCTATCGATTCGAGGCTGCGCGACATATGCTCCGGAAGGTTCTACTACAACCCATGACCAGTGCTCCATGCGGTACATAGCCCTATGACTCATTAGTTGTAGATATGACTCAGACTGGATTTGGGTATAAATACTGTAGCTACTTGGTTGTATTCTCCAGTCTTCGAATTCACTTCTCTTTTCGACTTTGTTTTTGGGTTGATTGTCACATAATTCGAAGACTCCCCTCATACCCTCATACCTCTTACCTCCTACCCTGCATCACTGCACCGCTACGCCCGCTATATCCTCTCCACCCTTATCACCCCACTTACCCTTTTACCGAATCATCTAGTCGTCCTCTGCGATCGCAGTGAAGGGTTCATATCGAGCAAACAGCACCAGGCCACGGGTAACGTTGAGCCCGACCCAAGCCTTACGGTAGCTACAAGGAGTGCTGCGGAGACCTTCGGGAAAACGCACCTCGGGATCATCGGGCACGTGAAGAGCTAGGCCCGGGATCCTTTTGCTAGCAAAAGAACCTTTCCTCGAGTGCTTGTACAGCACACGAATCCACCATTTCGTACCGATTCCCATCATCATCTGGGAGTCCATCCCCTCCCCCCATCATACCATCGTCGCCCGATCTGGCGCATCAAAACCAACCCGGACCCTCCAACCCCTACCTCGCCCTTCCGCCGCCTGAAGACGAGTTCCCCGACCTTGGCGAGTTACCCTCCGAACAACCACCCTCGCCCCCACCTACCGCACCTGCTCCTATCATGTCCGGACATCACCGCATCACCCTCGCCGCCAACCCCCCCTACTTCGATGGCGACAAGTCCAAGTACCTGGGCTTTGTGGACGCGTGCACCACTTACATCGGTGCCTATCGGTCAGAATTCTCACTGGACGAGACAAAAATCCTCTTCGTCCTGTCCTACCTCCGCAATGAGAGCGGCACAAGCTGCGCCGCCTCAAGATGGGCGATGAACTGGAAGCAGCACAATTTCGAGGGCTTCCAAGGACTAAAGGCGGGGGTCACCGCGACAAGCTTCTTGGAGGAGCTTCAGAGGGCCTTTGGGGATTCTAACGCAGAGCAAGTCGCTGCCGCCCGACTCATGGCCCTTCGCCAGGGCAGACGGTCCTTCGCGGACTACATCTCCGACTTTGAAATGCTGGCTGCAGACGCGGGGTACAACGTGGTCACCTCCACCGACAGCAAGGGCGAGTACAAGAAGGGGGAACAGGACAATATCCTCATCGAGTTCCTGGAGCGCGGACTCAGCAGTGAAATCGCAAGCCGCCTCTACAACACTGGTGTTCCCCTGCCCAAGGCATATGGTGCCTTCAAGAACTGGTGCGTCAACATCGAGGCCAATGCCTTGCGCGATCAGCTGCGTAAGGCCTCCTATGCGCACTCGACTCCACGGCCTCCTCCCCAATTCCGCCCTCAGGCAGCACCAGCGGCGCCCACGCCTGCTCCGACCCGACCGGCTGCCAACGAACCGGTCCCAATGGAAATCGATCGCACCCATGCCCGCGGCCGCAATATCATCTGCTACAACTGTCAGCAGCCTGGGCACATTGCGCGGAACTGCCCGGAACCAAGGAAGAAGCGCACATTCTTCAATCGGGCCACGATGCTAGAAGAAATCGAGAACGGGGACAAGGATAACGAGTTCCTCAAGGAGATTGCCGAGAAGCTGCGTGAGAAGGGTTTTTGAAGCGCTCCACTCCTCTAGCCAAGGAGGTGGAGCGTCCGGACTATGGACGTTTTTCTGTACTTGTTTCGATTAAAGATATGAACGATTCCCCTCATGCATACACGATCCCAGACTCCCTACGTACTAATATTCATGATTTTCTTGTTGCTGATATGGAAAAGGAACGTCAAAAGAAAATAGCTTTAAATAGAGAGTATCTACAGAGTAAAAAGGATCAGAAAGCTGCGGATAAATTAATTTTGGACTCCTACGTATTTATGGCTCGTGGAGAAGGAACCACGTCAACAAAGACCGAAAAGGGGAGCATTGCTCCGGAGGCTCAATCCTCGAAAAAGGAGGAAGCGCCCAAGGAAACTGCCGAAACCAAGGTTCCAGAAGCACCCAAACGCACAAGGGTGCCAGATGCCGTTCAAAGGAAATTGGCGGCCGAGAGACAGAAGGGCCCGCAGCCCGGCAGACTGGCGCAGGAATTGCGCGACTACCAGGCCGAAAGGAAGAGACATTCGATGGACGTATATGTCCAGATCACGGGTCTGGACTCAGGGAAAACGCGCGGAGTCAAGGCGCTGCTCGATAGCGGCTGCAGTACCTGTTGCATCGATACCGACTACGCACGGGCGGAGAAGTTGGATATTCAAGAGCTTCCACAACCCATTGTGGCCCGTAACGCCGACAACACCGAGAACATCAGCGGTTGGATCACGCATTACGTTGACCTAAGGATGAGCATCGGCCCTCACATGGAGACACGCACGTTCCTTCTGACGTGTTTAGGGAAAGCTTGGATCTTCATTGGTCTTGATTGGCTGACGGAACACAACCCCGAGGTGGATTGGCAGGAGCAGACCATGAGATTCAGCCGATGCCCAGAGCGGTGTCACATGAGGGGTCACGAGGAACATCAAGCAATGATTGACATGGATGCAATCGACCTGGACACGGGCACACCGGATCTGGAAGAGGGAGAATCGATCCTGTTGGTCGATTTTGGGAAGGAAGTGGATCTGCGGCTGAAGGAAACGCCGGCGCAGAAATTCGCAGAAGAAGCGGAAAAAGAGAAGGAGAGGATGACCGAGGGGAAGATTCCGGATCAATATCGGGAATTTGTCAAAGTATTCGCCAAGGAATCGTTCGACTTGCTACCAGACCAACGGGCATGGGATCACGCAATCGAGCTCAAACCTGGCTCCAAGGCAGTGGACTGCAAGGTGTACCCATTATCACGCAATGAACAAGTCAAACTCGACGAATTCTTACAAGAGAACCTGGCCAGTGGACGGATCAGGCCATCAAAATCACCCATGGCATCAGCATTCTTCTTTGTCAAAAAGAAGGATGGCTCGCTACGCCCCGTCCAAGATTATCGGAAGCTGAACAAAATGACAATCCGAAATCGGTACCCGCTGCCGCTGATATCCGAACTAGTCCATAATCTATGTGGCGCCAAGTTCTTCACAAAACTTGACATCCGGTGGGGGTACAACAATGTACGGATCAAAGAGGGCGACGAGTGGAAGGCTGCATTTCGCACGAACCGAGGGCTGTACGAGCCCTTAGTTATGTTCTTCGGTCTCACAAATTCCCCGGCAACGTTCCAAAACATGATGAACGACATACTCCGAGAGTTGATCAACGAGGGTCACGTGGTAGTCTATCTAGACGATATACTGATTTTCACAGAAAACTTGGACGAACATCGGCGGATCACGAAACGAGTGCTTGAATTGCTCCAGAAACACAAGCTATACCTGAAGCCCGAAAAGTGCGAGTTCGAACGCACGGAAATCGAATATTTGGGTGTAATTATTGGACACAATTTGATGCGGATGGACCCAGTCAAGATCAAGGGCGTGATGGAATGGCCAGAACCAAAGAGTGTCAAACAGGTCCAAGCTTTCCTCGGATTCACAAACTTCTATCGGCGCTTTGTCCGGGGATACGCGGAGGTTGCCAAGCCATTGACACGGCTGACAGGGAAGGCAGGATGGTCATGGGGTGCAGATGAGCATGCGGCATTTGATGGATTGAAGAAGAGAATCGCGGAGGATGCGGTCCTAGCACTGCCAAATGACACTGGCCAATATCGTCTGGAAGCCGATGCTTCGGAAGGGGCAACAGGATCAGTTTTGAGCCAAAACCAAGACGGCATTTGGCGCCCAATCGCATTTATTTCGCACGCATTGACCGAAACCGAGCGAAATTATGAGATTTACGACAAGGAAATGCTTGCAATCATGCTATCATTGGACGAATGGAGACAGCTACTACTGGGAGCCACGGAGACGTTCGAGATCTTCACTGATCATCAGAATCTTGAGTACTTCCGGAAGCCGCAGAAGCTCAATAGACGGCAAGCACGATGGATCACGGAGTTGGCGGAGTTTGATTTCACCTTACGACACCGACCCGGCGCACTCAACCGCAAGGCAGATCTCCTGTCTCGACGAGCAGATCATGATCAGGGCAAGAATGACAACAAGGACGTCACGCTACTGAAGCCCGAGTTCTTCCGATCACAAGAAGTCACATTCGAGGGACAGGATCAGCAGCTAATCGATGAAATCAAGGCCATTCGATCAATTGATGGAAGCGTCAAGGCGGCCTTAGAGAAGTCACTCGTCGGATGGAAGAAGGAAGAAGGGCTTATCACGTATCATGGGAAGCTCTATGTCATAACTCGACTCTTTTTCATCTTATCTTGGCACGACTTATCTTATCACGGATCACGGCATCAGACGGTCCGGGCTAGGGGTTCCAGGGGTTATCTCTATCGATTCGAGGCTGCGCGACATATGCTCCGGAAGGTTCTACTACAACCCATGACCAGTGCTCCATGCGGTACATAGCCCTATGACTCATTAGTTGTAGATATGACTCAGACTGGATTTGGGTATAAATACTGTAGCTACTTGGTTGTATTCTCCAGTCTTCGAATTCACTTCTCTTTTCGACTTTGTTTTTGGGTTGATTGTCACATAATTCGAAGACTCCCCTCATACCCTTGTACCTCTTACCTCCTACCCTGCTCCGTGCACCGCTACGCCCGCTATATCCTCTTCACCCTTACCACCCCACTCACCCTTTTACCGAATCATCTAGTCGCTCGCTGCGATCGCAGTGAAAGGTTCATATCGAGCAAACAGCACCAGGCCACGG